TAGACAGCCATGTTAGTTTTATTGTCATAAACATCTATACTTGAAATTAATCTATACAAACATCATGCAATACAACATATGGTAACTCAACTAGCTGAGCTGTATACACTATACTGTGTTACTAGACAGCCATGTTAGTTTTATTGTCATAAACATCTATACTTGAAATTAATCTATACAAACATCATGCAATACAACATATGGTAACACAACTGAGCTGAGCTGTATACACTATACTGTGTTACTAGACAGCCATGTTAGTTTTATTGTCATAAACATCTATACTAGAAATTAATCTATACAAACATCATGCAATACAACATATGGTAACACAACTAACTGAGCTGTATACAATATACTGTGTTACTAGACAGCCATGTTAGTTTTATTGTCATAAACATCTATACTAAAAATTAGTCTATACAAACCATGCAATACAACATATGGTAACGCAACTAACTGAGCTGTATCCACTATACTGTGTTACTAGACAGCCATGTTAGTTTTATTGTCATAAACATCTATACTAGAAATTAATCTATAAAAACATCATGCAATACAACATATGGTAACATAACTAACTGAGCTGTATACAATATACTGTGTTACTAGACAGCCATGTTAGTTTTATTGTCATAAACATCTATACTAAAAATTAGTCTATACAAACCATGCAATACAACATATGGTAACGCAACTAACTGAGCTGTATACACTATACTGTGTTACTAGACAGCCATGTTAGTTTTATTGTCATAAACATCATGCAATACAACATATGGTAACATAACTGACTGAGCTGTATACACTATACTGTGTTACTAGAGAGCCATATTAGTTTTATTGTCATAAACATCTATACAGACATCATGCAGTACAACATATGGTAACGTAACTGACTGAGCTGTATACACTATACTGTGTTACTAGACAGCCATGTTAGTTTTATTGTTATAAACATCTATACTAGAAATTAATCTATACAAACATCATGCAATACAACATATGGTAATGTAACTAACTGAGCTGTATCCACTATACTGTGTTACTAAACAGCCATGTTAGTTTTATTGTCATAAACATCTGTACTAGAAATTAATCTATACAAACATCATGCAGTACAACATATGGTAACGTAACTAACTGAGTTGTATACACTATACTGTGTTACTAGACAGCCATGTTAGTTTTATTGTCATAAACATCTATACAAACATCGTGCAATACAACGTATGGTAATGCAATTAGCTGAGCTGTATACACTATACTGTGTTACCACACATACCCATTCACACTCATTTGTACTCCATACAAACTTTACATGCATAAGGCAGCACAGAGGCACAGCTTGATAGAGAGTTTAATGATAAAAAACAGCATTAATAGCCAATCACAAAAGCAAACTTTTCCTGTTTTCAGTCCCTTTTGGTGGATTGTACTAACATTTGTAGAAAATACAATCTTTTTAAATAAGAAAATGGATGAAAAGATATTTTTTGTAGGGGTTCGACTTTTTGAGATTGTAGTTAAGGAACTTACCGATGATTTTGGTCAAGGGACGAGTCAGCCATGCTTGTGTAGTGGGGGCATGGATAAGTGTACAGTAGACTGAGTGTAGTGCGGGTATGGATAAGTGTACAGTAGACTGAGTTTAGTGCAGGTATGGATAAGTGTACAGTAGACTGAATGTAATGCGGGCATGGATAAGTGTACAGTAAACTGAATGTAATGGGGGCATGGATAAGTGTACAGTAGACTGAGTGTAGTGCGGGCATGGATAAGTATATAGTAGACTGTGAGTGTAGTGCGGGAATGGATAAGTGTACAGTAGACTGTGAGTGTAGTGCAGGCATGGATAAGTGTACAGTAGACTGAATGTAATGCGGTCATGGATAAGTGTACAGTAGACTGTGAGTGTAGTGCGGGAATAGATAAGTGTACAGTAGACTGTGAGTGTAGTGCGAACATGGATAAGTGTACAGTAGCCTGTGAGTGTAATGCGAGCATGGACAAGTGTACAGTAGACTGAATGTAGTGCAGGCGTGGATAAGTGTACAGTAGACTGAATGTAGTGCAGGCGTGGATAAGTGTACAGTAGACTGTGAGTGTAGTGCGGACATGGATAAGTGTACAGTAGACTGTGAGTGTAGTGCAGGTATGGATAAGTGTACAGTAGACAGTGAATGTAATGCGGGCATGAATAAGTGTACAGTAGACTGTGAGTGTAGTGTGGGCATGGATAATTGTACAGTAGACAGTGAGTGTAGTGCGGGCATGGATAAGTGTACAGTAGACTGTGAGTGTAGTACAGGCATGGATAAGTGTACAGTAGACTGAATGTAATGCGGGCATGGATAAGTGTACAGTAGATTGAGTGTAGTGCAGGCATGGATAAGTGTACAGTAGACTGTGAGTGTAGTGTGGGCATGGATAAGTGTACAGTAGACTGAGTGTAGTGTGGGCATGGATAAGTGTACAGTAGACTGTGAGTGTAATGCGGACATGGATAAGTGTACAGTAGACTGAATGTAATGGGGGCATGGATAAGTGTACAGTAGACTGAGTGTAGTGCAGGCATGGATAAGTGTACAGTAGACTGTGAGTGTAGTGCGGGAATGGATAAGTGTACAGTAGACTGTGAGTGTAGTGCAGGCATGGATAAGTGTACAGTAGATTGAATGTAATGCGGGCATGGATAAGTGTACAGTAGACTGTGAGTGTAGTGCGGGAATAGATAAGTGTACAGTAGACTGTGAGTGTAGTGC